TTTACCAATTATGAAATCGAATAATTGATTTAAGCAATCGAGAATTTTCATGTGAAAACCCAAATCGAATCACCCCTAATTAAATTACTAAAATGAAATTAAACCTAATGTCAAGGCTCTAATTGTTAACCTAATTCAATTATGTCAAAAGGTTAATCTAATTAAAGCTCAAGGACTAAGATGTGAAAAGTCTCTAGGGTCTAAATCTAAACTAAGGATCTAATTAATCCTAATTATTTTAACTAAGGTAAATAATTTAAAAGACTAAAAATAACTAAGGTTTAAAATTAAAGAGTTAAGTTAGCCAATTATTGATTCGAACAACCAACTTGAGTAATCGAGCATGTTTATGTGAAAACTCGAGTTGGATTGTTCCCTAATTACCACTAAGGTGAAAACCTATCGTCTAAATCAAATTATTTGATAAAGAAGCTACCTATCCTGGGGGTAAATTATAAAGCCTAAATAATGTTAAGGAAATAAGAAAATAATTACTCATGCAACAAAATTTCTCATTTGAATTTAATATGTAAACAATCTAATAGTTAATATGAGCCAAAAGAAAATAACATTAATTTTAATTAGTACTTAACAAATTAAACAAACAAGGGATTAAATTGAATAATTACTAAATTAATTAGGAATTAAACAGGAACTAAACATGCAATTTAAATTAGGGAATAAATTGAAAGAAATTAAAATCAACCATGTGAAATAACAAATAAACAAGGATTAAAATGTAAAAAATTGCTAAAATATGAGGGGTATGAACAAAATTAAACCAAAAAAATAAAACAGGAAAGAAAATCTAGAAAATAACGACATCGAGACAAATAAAAGAGGTCAAATTCGAAAACAAACCCTACATGTGACCATTTTGCAAAATGCACTTAAGTTTGGGAGACTAAAATCAAAATAACCCAAAACCCATTATATAAAACCCTTAATCAAGAATTAATCTAAACCTAATCATTTTTAAAATTAGCAGCCACTCAAACAAAGAGAGTTCTCCAAACTCCATCAAGCTATTCTCTGTGTATTCTCTCTCCTCCTTGCTCCAGCCACCGCTCGTGGTGGCCGGGAAAGCCAAGAGTCCTCCTAAACGAACTAAAAATGCCCCTACGACCTCCGATTTATTCTTTTTCTTTTAAAACCAAACCCTAAATATCCTAAAAGAACCTAAATCCCCCTAAATCTCATCTCCTTTGCTCGATTTTTTTCCAACCCAAATGAAATCCATAACTCTTTGCCTCAAAACCTTCAAGAATGAAACCCAAATTTTTTAAAACAAAACATGAGCAAGCCATAACCACCCATGCAACCCATCATTCATCGTAATGGAGCCTTTCCTGGGTGTCCTTGTCCTCAGGAGAACTGATTGCCTCAGGTACAAAAACGTAAAAAAACTTATTTTATTATTTTGGATTCATGCACGCGTAAATGAAAAAGGGAAAAATATACCTTTGAAAAACTTGTGCTTTCTATTGGGAAAAACCGATCCTTTTACAAATGATTCTCTCTGGTTTTATAACCACTCGAGAGGAGGGTTACAATCATCCTAGCATCTAAATACAATGGGTACTTTTTATTTTGGGCTCTTGATTTCATTTCATGTGACCTCTACCATAAATGGCCTCTTCGTTTGTCTTTTTCACTGTTGGGTGTGTTTGGTCTTTTGGGTGTGTGGAAACATTGCAATCTGGTTTGTGCATTTATCAGACACGCGTGATTTAGTCGTTTGATCTTCTTTGGCCAAGTCAATCGTTGGATTGGGTCAGGTCCAATGGTTGAACTTCCATGCAGGCTCTTTCTTTGGATTGGATCCGACGGTCATGATAGAAAGATGTTTTTTATGCTTGGGGATCTCTTAAATGTCTTTAATTTGGACCGTTGGATTGGATCAGATCCAATGGTCACAATTTGGATGTGCATATTTGCCTCATATTAGGGTTATAAACCCTAATTTACTCTTCGATCGAGACTATTGGATTGGGTCAGATCTAATGGTCCCAGATAATGCAACGCTAAGACTTAGGGTAAAACCCTAGCTGCTTCTTGGACTTCATATGGCTTTCATTCCTTTGGGCTTTGATCTGGACCATTAACGGGCTTGGTTGCTTGACCCTGACTTGGACTTATACTGGACCTTTGTTAGACTTGGATCAAATGACATGCAAAACTAAAACAAGTATATAAATAAAAATAAAATAAGATAAGATAAGAAATAAAAAGTAAAAATAAATTTAAAAAAAATCAGAATGAATTATATTATTTCCAAAAAAATACGTTTTCTCCAAACGTTTTAAAATCTTATTATATAATATTTTCAAAATGGTTTTCAAGATGTCTTCAAACTTACATTATATTTTCGAAATGGTTATCAAAATGTTTTCAAAACTATATAATAATATATATATATATATATATATATATATATATATTTAAAATGCTTTTCAAATGCTTTCCAAATAACTATATGATATAATGCTTCCATACCATTATTTTACCTTTAATATATATATATATATATATATATATATTAAAACATAAAATAAGATACAAAGTGAAACAAAGTGGATTTATTCCCCGGGCGAAAACGTGTCTATATGCACCCTTCAAGCTATTTTTCAATGTAATTGAACTCAAATTATAAAAATTTTTAGAGGACATTTATTGTATCAATAATGTAACTTTTTCAGAGGTTATTCAATGCATAATTTAAATACATTTCAGAAAATGGTGAAATAGTGGTGTCTTATCATCTTCTACAACTTTCAGGGATATATCAACTCAAATCAGAAAACTTTTTGTGGTACATTTCATTTCATATCAAAAAACATGTATTTCACACAGGCCAAATAATGACCCATTTCACCAACTTTCAATGTTCATTTAATCATCTTCAGCAAATATTAACATACTTGAGTTGAAAGCCATTTTACACTGATATTGAAGAGAAAAAACTTAAACACCTTCAATCTTTCACTTCCAAAGCTTGATTTTTTACAAACATGTCAACTATTTACGTAATTGTTTTTTACGATTGCAAATCTATAACCATGTGTTTCCCAAAAAATATTCAACTGCACGAGTTAAAGTTCAATATAGAAACAAAAGTTCTACTCGGAAGCACTAGAAGAGTATATTTCTTATAATATAAATTCCAATATCATACACGATGTTTCGTCTAAACGATGATGTAACCTTGCTGACATGATTGAGGCATACTTCTATCATTCTTTGTCTAATGTCGATTTGTTTGTAGAGTTTGATGATCTCGACCTTGTTCGTACCATTGAGATGTTGCTTCTAGCTCGAATATCCCACCAACTCAGACAAATGACCAAGAAAAAAACATAGATAATGGAGACTCAGAAGCATGGTTCCAATTCCTACGTGAACGACAACAACAAAAAGAATAGAGATTTGAAGAACTTAACATTACTTCTGACGAGTCTACTGATTACGAAGATTAAAACTTCTTAATCAATACTACTATGTTAATGATTTTATTTAATGTTTATGGTGTTCGTAAGGTTAGTCATATTTACATCCTTATGTTAATGTATTAAGTTTGTATTTTTTTTTTTCTTAATATGCATTTTTGAAGGTCTAATCTAATGTTCATAGTTTGTTGTTCTTTTCAACATAATCTGCCACATTTTGGAGAGCAAAAATAAATAAATAAAGTAACTCGTCACCTCGAGGTGACGAGTTTATTTAAGTAAATTATCACCTCGATGTGCAAGTTTCAATTATTTTTTTCAAAATTAAATTCACATAATAATCTGAAAAAATAATATTTTTAATAGAACTCGTCATCTCGAGGTGACGAGATTCACGAGTTCTTTGGATATTATTTTTATATTCCTCCCTTGGCATTGTAGAAAATGTCGTAGATCCCAAAATAAAATATTGTGCCCTATTGGGCCAAATAAACAGCGAGCGCCGTATTGGGCCAAAAAACCTAGAAAACCATTAGTTAAAAACGGATAACACAAATATATTCCTTTTAACCAAAATGAAAACATTGGGGCTAAAATACTAAAAACAAAAACAAGGATGAAAGTATCATTCAGTCAAACTTCATGGTCTTTGTACCTTAAAATAAGATGTTTGGGGATGCTAAAAAAGAATAGGGGTCAAATTTGATATCATGCCTTAGAAACATCTAAATAATTTAGCTAGATAGACACTAACGCATACTAAAAAACAAGATAAATTCTATTTGCTATACACCTATTACTTAGTTTCTATTTGGTCACTAAATTATTATGTTTTCAAAATCATACCAATATTACATTTGGGTAAACTATAACATTGACCACCTAACTATTGCCCTTTTCATTTGACCATAATTTTTGAAATTTTATTAATCAGGCACTCACTATTTAAATGTATTTAATGAAACCACTTGCCGTTAACATTTAACAGAATTGATGACGTGACAATGAACAAAAATATAATTACACATTTAGTTCTTATTACTTACACATTCTATCAAATTAGTCATAATTTTAAATTAATTCAATATTTAGTCTTCAAATTATATGAAGACACGTGTCATTATGACAACTGTCATGACACACGTCACAACATCATTAGAGGTTTTTTTTTCTTAATTTAATACTTCTCCACCAATCAAATGTTGACACATGGTGGTTGAATCAGAATTTGAGCTTGTAAAGTCAAGTTTAAATCCTTCTACGTCACTCTTGGAGTGTAATCTGTAATTTCTTTATAAATCCATTGAGTCTTAGATATGTCATTGCCTTGGAACGGGGAGCCTTCCTCGACCTAAACTTTTGATGTTCAAAAAAAATTAACGTTTGTTAGGTGTGACTTTTTAGAAAATAATGGTTAGATGATCTAAACGAAAAATAACATATGGGTGACCAATAGGTAATTCGCCATAGGAGACGAACGCGTATGTTGCGCTGCTCCATGACATTCATCATCTGGACTGCACATTTCTTCCGTTCTATTCTTCTATCCACTCCAAATCTTACCTTTCCAGAAACAAAGAAAACATTAGCTTCAACAAAAACAAAAGAGGAGACGTTATTCATCAATGGCTTCTTCGCTCAATTAACCACACTTTCTTTTGCTTTACCCTTTTCTCGTTCTTATCCTCCCTTCTCCTCTTCCTCCTCCGCTCGTCTCCCAATGGAACAATTTACTCAAATCCTTGAAGCTCAGTTCCTCTAAATCCATCTCTTCTATCCCTTCTTTAGCTTCCAATGCGCTTTCCCCCATCTCCACTCCTCCCCAAATACCCCAATCTCTCACTGTCTTGCTGCCAAAGGCTACAAAATGAAAACCCACCAAGGTACTTCTCTCTTTCTTCTCTCACTTCCTTTGCTGAGTATTAGTTTCTGTTCTATTTCAACCCTTCTCTCCAGATTTGTTCTCTAGTTATAGAATTCAGTGAGTTGAATCAATTTATGAGCTAAAATGTTGACAAGTTTGTTCTAGTTTTTGTGTTGATGGGTAGGCCTGTATGCTAACCGAACTAAACGTACGAAGGAGGGTATGCTTATGTTTTTTGTTTAACATAAATGAAAAACATGAACCGATTAAAAGAATAAAATTTATTGATTGTGTTAGTTCGTTAAACAATTTTACTTGTTAATGTTCTTTCTCAAACACAAACGAGTATCTTTTTATCAATCTATGTGAAATGAAAGTAGATACAGATGTGAATAAATTTAAATGAATATAATAAACGAACATAAAAAATAGATTAGCGAATGGTCATGAACATAAATAAATGATCGTTCATTTAATTAAACAAATGGAAATCTTGTTTATGTTCGTTAATTTAATAATAACAAATATAACGAATTTTCCGTTGACGGTTCACAAACGATTCATTTCGTTCAGTTCGTTACACGCCTATTGATGGATGTGGTTTTATAATAGATTCTTATATTGTGATATTGTTTATTAGGCTTCAGCTAAGAGATTCCGGTGACTGGAAGAGGTTAAGTAGTAAGGAGGAGAGCTGGGAAGCAGCATTTGTTGGCTAAGAAGAACACCAAGCGTAAATTGTGCCTCTCCAAAATGGTCTGTTTTCTTTTTCCTCTATTTCCAACCTTTTGCCTCAGGTTCTGCAAATGTTCCTATTCTATCCTTTAGATGGTGGGCTCTAATTGCTCCAAATTATGCTTTGGTTCTTCGAATGGCTAGCTAACTGCATTTAATTGAGATACCAACTTGGGGAAATTATTGCTTAGAATGAAGGTCTATTTTGAAATTATCTTCTAAATATTGGTGATTTGTCCCCACTTCCTGTCCACATCGTTTCTCAACTTGAATGGGAATTTCCTGCTTTACAGTCTCTTGTTAGAGTTGTAAACAGTCAAGTCAAGTTCGAGTATTGTTGATCGACTCAACTCGAAAAGTTCAACTCGACTCGAAAGCTCGCGAGTTTAAAATTGTCAAACTCGACTCGAACTCAAAATAAAAAATTGAAGCTCGACTCAAGTTCGAAATATTTAACTTGAAACATTCTCAGATTTAACTCAAGCTCGAACATGAACTTAAGTACGTGAAAATCTTATACTATTTTTTTAAAATATATATATAAAAAATTGATATTAGTAATTTAATTTTCTATTTTTTCGAGTTGCTGTGAGCTTTGAGTCGCATATCAAGTTGCTCACTTTGACGCTCGAGTCAAGTCCTTCGAATCGAATGTTGACCAAACTTTGACCAATCGAATTTGAGTAGCTTGCGATCTGTATGTCTCGTTGCCTCTCATTTTTTAAGCCAAGCAATGAAAGGATTTTCTTTCAATTTTCCATCTTTCCTACCAAGCATGCCAATAGAAACAAAAAAAAATCTTTCTAGTTTCCGACTCTAATTTTGTCATTCCAATTTTCTTTCCACTTAACCAAACAAAGCCTTTGGGACACAAGGGAAATCAATCCGTTTGCAATTCTTTGTTAACAGACTGTAAGTTGTGACATGATATAGAAAGATGCTTTTACTTTTTCAGTTTGATGCATAGGTTTAAATCCATCTCGAGGTCTATTTCTGTATAAAAACATATTCTTATTGGTATTTGTGCCATGTTCCATCTGGGCAGCATGAGGTTAGCCGGAGCGACTACAACAACGTGATCGGCTGACATGATAGAAAGATGCTTTTACTTTTTCAGTTTGATGCATAGTTTAAATCCATCTCGAGGTCTATTTCTGTATAAACATATTCTTATTGTGTATTGTGCCATGTCCATCTGGGCAGATGAGGTTAGCCGGAGCGACTACAACAACGTGATCGGTGCTTGCATAACTCAAAGTAAATAGAAATGCCAAGTGAAGAGCATCTTCAAGTGTAATACGATGAACTTATGTATGTTACTAGTGATTTCACACAATTATGCTAGAGCAAGTTGTGGTTTAGTGTTTATGTTTCGGTGCACTTATTGGCCATTTTATAAAATCTTCAGTTGAGTTTAATTTGATTCAATCATGTTGGTAATCAATTCATTCTAATTTACGACATCGCCGGTAACATTGCATGCATCGAATTCCTATGTCGTCTGTGGTTGATGCTCTGGTATTAAAATAGTTCGGACATTTTAGACTAGGCCGGCATAAGAATGCAGAATCAGTTGCTGTTGAAGCAAAAGGGAAAAAAAGAGAGAAAAGAGGCTCTGGAGGCGGTTGGTTAGACATAGATAGAAAGCAGGACTGATCTGCACATATAGGTGACTTGCTGAAAGACGACTAGGAACGATCAGATGTGCCTGAGATTCATTTGGTGACATTTTTAGTCTTAGGTACAATATAGGGTATATTTCTGTATCAATGTGTAAATTCTTAATATTTATATTTAATTTAAATTCACATAATTATATTCACATCTTAAAATTAAAAATATATATTATCTTAATTTATTAAATATTTTTCTTTTTATTTCAACTTCAAAATATATTTTAGTCTTATTTTTAACTTAAAAATAATTTTACTATTATCTATTTTTAAAATATATTTAAATTAAATCCACTACTAACATTAAAATATATTTTTATCTTAATTATCAAATATGTTTTATTCTTATTTTTATTTTAAAAATATTTTTAGTCTTATTTTAGCTTAAAAATATTTTTTATCTTTAAATTATGATATATATTTTACTTTTATTTAAATTAAAATATATTTTTAAAAGCTAAGATAAGAATAAGATGTATTTTTTAAGTTAAAATAAGATTAAAAAATTTTAAAGTTCAAATAAAAATAAAATATATTTAATAAGTTAATATAAAATATAATATAAAAATTATTTAAAAAAATATATATTTTTAATGTTAGATGTGAATTTAAATTTAAATTTATAAAAATATTAAGAATTACACAATGATATAAGACATACCTAATATTATTAACCTCAATCCAAAAAAGCAACTTGACTCGACGGTTGAGTGCTCCCATTACCAACTAAGGATTCCAGGTTTGAGTAGCTTGTACTCATTTGCATGGTGACATTGGCAAAAGTATATTGAAATTAAAAACAAACTAAAATAAATTTAATCCTCAAATTGGTTGATGACACATGGCTCCATTGATTCTATAATTAAATTTATTAAAATTAGGACTAAATTGATAGAATAGTAAGTAACAATGATTGAATGTGTATTATACCAAATTTTTTAAATGCTATATCATTGTGTCTGTAAATGTTAACGGCTAGTGGTTTGAATGAATACAATTAAATAGTTAGGTGATCTAATTGACAAAATTAAAAGATCGATAATAAAGTAAAAGAGATAAATAATTAGGTGATCAATGATATAGTTTACCCTAGAAACTATTATTTTCGGCGTATATGGTTCTCTATTAGGCACAATCAGTAATAATAGTAACAAATGATTATATTCCGGTAGAATACCATCAAGGATAGTGTCAATTTGCTCAGATTGAACGTCCACATGTAGCAAGAAGATCACATCTCTCCTTGATGTGCATTGTGTATTCGTGCATCGACAATGTACCTTCTTCATGGATTAAAGCCGACAATGCAAGAACATCCACGTTTCTGCTCCGACCTACTATGGTAGCACAGTCGGGCTAATTGTGGACAGATGCCATGAGGCTAATGAACCATCCCGTTTAACAAAGAAAAGATACGTCGGATTAATCACCTGAACATCACTTGAAATATCACCTAGTGTAGGAAGTAGCGGTTGTTGAATTATTAGATGGAAGCTAGTTGTAAGTATTTTGTAGCAAGCTAGCTGTTTTTTTGATTAGTGTGTGTATATAAGCTAGTCTATGATTGTAATTGTTAACTTGAAATAAAAAGCTGAAAAGTTCTTCCAAGTATTTTTTAGCATGGTATCGATGTGTTTTTTGGTATTGAGTTTTCTGGCTGATTTTTTTTTGTTTTCCCTATTCGACTTTCCTTTCTTCTCTTTGTTTTCCCTTCTTCTTGATCGATTGCAATGGAAACCATCAACATCAACAATAACATCTTTTTTTCCTGCATTCATATTTGAATCGCACTTCTCGCTAAGAACAATCTTGGTTTTATAGATGGAGAATGTCGCAAGAAGCAATACGATTTAACGCTCCATTCACAATGGGGGAGGTGCAATGCAATCGTCTTCTCGTGGATTCTCAATTCGGTTAGTCAAGACTTATCTGCTGGGATGTTTTGAATCAAGTGCAAAAGCTGTTTGGAGGGATATGAATAAACGATTAGATAAAAATCGATGGTTCTAGGGTTTACTTCATTGTTCGATAGCCACTCCTCTAAGGTGAATCCTCTCTCTCTGCTTATTATACTCGCTTAAAGATTCTGTGGGACGAATACAACAGTTCGGTTCCTTTCTCTTTGTGCGATTATGAAATTGCTCAACAAAATTCAGCTCATATTACGCAAAAAAAGTGATTTTAGTTTCTGACGGGTTTGAATGAAACTATTCAGCAATTAGAAATAGAATTTGATTATGAAGCCTTTACCCACAGTAAATCAAGGTTATTCTAAAATTTTCCAGTGCTTCGAGAAATATGGATCGTAAGCGTTTTTTTAGGCGTTTTTTAGCATTGTAAAATCAGAGGACCATCGAAAAGAGGATTGTTAAATTCACTAAGAGAAAAAGACTTCTCAAGAAGTAATGGAAGTGCATAGTGAATCGAGTGATTTGTTGAGTTCAGATTCTAGTTATGTTCCTGTTGCTCTTGCTTCACTGGTGCCAACCTTCACAATCGAGTAATATAATCAGATCTTGAGCTTATTGAATAAGGCTCCCTCTTCAAATTCCAATGTAAATATAGCAGGTACCGTGGCTTGTAATTTACTTACTGTTGAATCCGTACTGTTTGGATTTTAGATACAAGGGCTACAGACCAAATCATATTTGATTTCAAGAATTTACTTACTGTTGAATCCGTACTGTTTGGATTTTAGATACAAGGGCTACAGACCAAATCATATTTGATTTCAAGAGCTTGGTATTTCCTATTTCGTGTTCTAAGCCTCATTTTGTGCATATACCTAATGGTCAATCTGAATTAGTTACCCATATTGGATCTTATAATCTTACCAAAGACTTCCAAATCTCTAGGGTCCTATATGTTCCTAAATTCTCACACAATTTACTTTCTATTTCCAAAATTGCATCAATGACTTCTATTCTGACTTCTGTCTTTTGTAGGACCGCTCCAATGGCATTATCAGGGTCAGGGGGGCTGTTAGAGAGTCTAGGGTGTCGTAACCGGTTTTCACCCGGGCACGAAATTATTTACTTGGTGTGAAAATAAATGATTTTTTAAAAAATTTGAGAGTCGCCATCGGCCTTTTGGGGTTAGATAGGTCGAATACCTAAAAAATCATCTTTTAAAAAAGTTTTCAAGAAAACATCAGTTAAAAGATAAACTGGTCTACGTTTATAACCAAAAATTCATTCTTTTTATTAATAACAAGGGATTCGTGGTCGGTTACATTTGAGGAAGGATTAGCACCCCCACAATGTCCAAAATTAATACTCATTAATTATAAATTGTCTCTATTATTGGAAATTTAAAAATTCAAAGATTTAATTCATAATTTTGTGATTTCAAATTTATTAGTATCTATATTTTTAAATAAGATATTCATTTACTTAGAAATATCAGAAAAGGGCTTCTAGGTGCTTTAAGACAGCTCTTTTCTTAATATTAAAATAAATAAATATTAATAAAACATTTATCTAAAAATAATAAAAAAGTAAAAATAGATTAACATATATAATTGATAAAAGTAAAATATTTATTTAGAAATATCAAAAATGGACATCCAGTTGCTTTAAGACTGCCCTTTTTTAATATTTAAATAAATATTAAAAATAATAATTTTCCTTTATAAAATAAAACAATATGTGTTTTTTGGTTTTGATAAGTAAGATATTTATTTATTTAAAATACTAGAACAGAACATCTAGTTGCCTTAAGATTGTCCTTTTCTTTGATATTAAAATAAATTATTATTATTTAAACAATATATATATAATATATATATATATAAGACTAAAATAATAATTAAAGTATTAAAAGTAATAATAAAATAATATTACAAATAATAATGAATATATAAAATTAAAACTATAATATAACACACTTTAAGTTAATAAAATACCATATAAAGCAATCTTTGTAAATGAATAGAATAAATACTAAAAGAAATTTATATTTTAATAATAGTAATATAATAAAGTCAAATAGTATAATGTCTATTATAATTAAAAGGTATGGAAGGGAAAGTAAATTTAAGATACCAATTATAAAAAAATGAAAAGAAAATAAAGTCAAAGACATAAACATTAAGATTACAAGTAATTAAGGAGAATGAAACATTAAAGGCAAATTAATCATGAATATCTAATTGACAACAAATTTGAGAAAGTTTTAAACAACAAATAATTGAAATTAAAGCAATTAAATTATTCATATATAAAATTCATAGTAAAAAAATGAGGACTATAAAAATTAGTGATTAAATTATAAACAAATGAAATTAAATACCTAATTCATAATTTTTATTATAATTACGGGGATTAAACATGTTATTTTACCCATTTATTAATTTGGTGACTAAAATAAAATTATATTAAATTAGCACATCAAATTAAAACAATTAAAACA